TCACACAATGACTTAATTGTTTGTTTCTGTTCTGACGTAAGGCGTTCTGCAAAATGAATGTCTTTTACTGATTCAGTCTGAACACTTGAAGGTAACAAAATTGAATCCTGTGTTTCATTGCTGTCTTCATCACTAAAGTCTATCAGAGAAACTGCACATGCTGATAAAGCTGCCACTTTCGGTTCATCTCTCTCGACATACTTTTTCAGCAAATTTGCATGGTATGTTTTCGACTTGCCTCCCAAGTCAACCGTGTAGTCCATAGGTCCCATCTTTCTTGTGATACTGTAAGGTCCCTTCCACTGCATGAGTTTGTTCGATTTTGTCGGGAGGAGGACTAACACTCTATCTCCTTCTTTCATCTGCCGATTACTTGTCTTCCTGTTATAATATTTTCTCTGACATGTCTTGCATTCTCAAGATGTTCATGGGCGATATTGCACGTTTCTTCCAGTCTTTGTCTTAAATCAAGTACATACTGATATGTTGTTTTGACTTCTTCATCTGGGATCTCTTTGGTCAATAACTCCTTCAGAATCATCATTGGTCCTCGAACAGAATGTGCATTCAAAAGATCAAATGGAGAAAACCCAAGACTCTCTTGCGGTACTTCACGATATGCGAACAGTAATGGATTCAGATATTTATCCCAGTCCCTGGGTCTTTCTGCGCACATCCTTTTGAGCATCTGTTTTAGTGTTCCATTAAACTTCTCCACGAGCCCATTGCACATTGGATGGTATGGGGTAGTTGTTATTCGCTTGAAAGACAAAAGTCGACTCACTTCCTTCATCACATCAGATGTAAACTGAGTCCCTTGATCTGATAGCATCTCAGTAGGAACGCCCACTCTACTAAAGATGTCTACCAGTGCTTCTGCTACACGCTCAGTTTCTATTCCGGGAAGTGCGATCGCCTCCGGATATGGAGTTGCATAGTCAACCACTGTAAGAACGTATCGATTACCCTTATCAGTAATCGGTTGGAGGGGTCCTACGATATCAACTGCCACTCGTTGAAACGGAACTGTGATAAGTGGCATGTGTCCTAGGGGTACTGCAGGAACTTTGCCTTTGGATATAGTTCTTTGACACACATCACATGATTAACAGAATCTCCTAATATCTGCTTGGATCCCTGACCAATAAAATTCTGCCATGATTCTGTCTGTTGTTTTCCTCACTCCCAGATGTCCTGCCATTATCGATTCATGTGCCAGCTTCATTACCATGTCTCGATACTGTTTTGGTATGATGAGTTGTCGGAAAACTTTTCCATTAGAAACTCTTGGACTGCTGAACTCTCTGTATAACAGTTGTTTTCTGAAGTAAATTTTTGAAGAACCACCATCACTAAGTTGCTTAACTGTTCCCTTTTCTGCCGTTTCCCTCAGTTTCTTCAGTGTCTTATCGTCCCTTTGTTCCTTTTGTAAATCCTCGGGTGATACATCCTGTATGGCACTTGGTACTTTCAAAGGTTTGTATGTCGACTGTTTCTTTTTTAGCTGACCACGAGTTTCAACTGCTGATGTGCCTCCTGTTGAATGAATCCATGCCATATTTGGTTCATGGGGTTTCCTAACTCCTTGAATATTTCCAAGAATAAGATCATATGATGGAGAGTCAAAACACCAAGTGTCAACATTCCCTGTCCACGTGAACTGTTGCGACCTCGGCTTATATCACACTTCCATCAGCTAACTTGCACTTTTGTGTTTTGCTTGTAAGTTGATCTTTTTCTACCAAGTCCCTCCTTATCACAACACCACTACATCAGTATCTCGTAGTACAGTTATTAGTTTGTCGCCTACACAACCTTTCACCACTGGCATCACCATTTCACTAACTGCGACTGAGTCACCAACACAAGGTAATGTTTCCTCTCTGTGCACAGCAGATGTATCTTGGCGTCCTCTACCACGTCCAGAGTATCCAAAATTGCGTCCACGAAAACTGCTGGAAGTACCACTCTTCGGATCATTGAACTGATATTGTTTTGGAACAGTCTCTTGTTTTTCAGTAGCACTAGATACCTTATTAGAGGAAAACTTCCGATGAACACAGTCAAAGGATTTATGTCCGATTTTCCCACATATGTAACACTTTGCTCCTGAATTGGATTTCGTTTGAGCCACTTTGTCCATAGAATGAAATTGTTTATCAGGTTGAGGTTTCCTATCGAATGGAGATCTTTGTGTGATGGACGAAGATGTAATGTTTCTGGCCTCTGCAAACTGATCCGCGTAATGCGCCATCTCCTGAATGCTTGGGGGAATTCTCTCTTTCAAGAATAAAGACAACTCCTTAGAACAACACAATATAAATTTTTCCCTTAAAAATAAATCCTTAAGCCCTTCATATGTTTTTGTTTCTTTGAAAGTTCAATCCATCGTTCAAGGTAATTGTCCAATCTCGCAGAGAATTGCATAAAAGTTTCACTTCCATCCGGCTTTGATGATCGAAACTTCTTGCGAAATCCATCTTCCGTCATATCAAAGCGTTTGAGAAGAGCCTTCTTCAGTTCATCGAAATCTAAAGCAGATTCTGGAGGAAGTCTTGAAAACACATCCAAAGCTTTTCCTTTGAGTAAGGCACTAAGATGAGCTCCCCAGTTATCTCTACGCCATTTCTGTGATGTCGCATAAATCTCAAAACGTTGGATGTAAGCGTCAATATTATCCTTCGAATCATCGAACGCAGGAAGTTTTGGTCCTTTTATTGGTTGATGCATTTCCGTACCATGTGATGATGAATCCAACACTTTGTGAGATCTTTCAGCTGCTAGTAGTTGAAATTTATGACCAAGTTCCATTTCTTCCATCTTGCGTTTGTGTTCCGATTCAGCAAAGAGCCGCATATGTTCACGTTCCTCGCGTCCTCTGTCTGTTCTTTCCTTCTCTATCTGCAACTGATATTCACGTTCCTCCTTCGATTGTCTTTCTTCTCTTTGTCGTTCTCGTTCATCACGAAGTCTTGATTGTTCTTCCTTCACAAAATTTTGTAGAGCCTCATCCTTGAATCCCATCTGAGTTCCGAGTTCTAGTAACTCCTGCATTTCCTTTACAGTAGACATGATGGATGACTGAACTGAACCAACTTACCAATTTTAAGTCCCAAGGAATAATAGTCTTACTTTATATATTTAACAAAGATCTTACTCAGACAGCTTACCTTAACTTAAGTATCATAAGGGAGAACCATGACTTCATTCACCAAAGCTGATCTGCATGTTGCCCATGGATAAACTACTCAACTCTTAACCAACGTTAACTATAATGAAAAATATAAATCAAAAAATTAATCCTGGCAAACCGTCACCATAGAAGAATTCTAGTTTGATTTAAAAAGAGAGTCTGTCATCCCACCGCTGCCACCAAATTTGTAACGTGGAATGAGCCAGGATTTCCTTTTCAAATCAAAACAAGAATGTCTTCAATGAAAACAAGAATTTATTTACAACAAAAAATAAAGAAAAGACAAATCAAAATAATAAATCACACAATCACATTCACGCACACTCACTCAAATGATCGAACAAAAACAAAATGTTATTTACAATGCAAAAAAAAAATAGGTTTTAAACAACACGTGTTGAAAACAGTTGTTTAAAACCTATTTTTTTTTCATTGTAAATAACATTTTTTTTTTGTTCGATCATTTGAGTGAGTGTGCGTGAATGTGATTGTGTGATTTATTATTTTGATTTGTCTTTTCTTTATTTTTTGTTGTAAATAAATTCTTGTTTTCATTGAAGACATTCTTGTTTTGATTTGAAAAGGAAATCCTGGCTCATTCCACGTTACAAGCTGAGTATAACAGATACTTGATCCGAAGGGTCGTATCACGTCGAGTTGACAGGCGCGGAAAATCAGATCTAACGAGATGCGAAGTGTCGAGTTTGATCTGATGATCCGCGCCTGTCAACGAGACGTGATACGGCTCTTCGGATCAAGTTACTGTTATAATGATAAATCTATTATATACCCCCTTATAACTAGCAAAATATAGCGAAATAAAACTGTAGAGATCAATTATATAATATTTATCCATAAAACAAAGCATAAAATTAAAGGACTTTTAAACACTCAAGAAAGATAACGTAATGTTTCTTTATACTACGTCATCAGTTTCAGAGAGTGGTGATATCGATTCTGAAAACCACAGTGTGGTGATCCGGAAAGTCTGATCACGACGCCAGGTGATAACGTAAAATCAACAGTAAAATTGAATGATATACATTAGGTACGAGGGACATTCAAAAAATAAGTAGACAATGCTTCTCATCGTCATATAATTATTACAAGATTATAGATCAACACATTTTCGTAAACATAAACTTCTATTTTGTAGAAGTGTGAAAGTTCATTCCATTTGATTAAATAGAACTCATGTTAGCCAAAATTTAAACCAACATGGTTTGTTACCACGGAACACGGTTAACCAACATCGTAACGTCAAAGACAACGTTGAGAAAGTTTGTCAAAATTATAATAATTTTCTAAATTTCAAACACGGTTTGTAGCGTCTTCTCCATTCAAAAAAAACACATCCATAACACTTAACACCTAGTTTGGGATCAATTATACAAATATAGCTTGAATAAGAATGTCATTGTTTTCAAATTCTTTAATTTACCATGTAACTCTATTAATTCTGCAACAGTGAAGCACACATCATTGGGGCATTTTACGCTTTATAAACCCGAAGCGGTTTATAAAAAGCGTAAACTGTTCCAACCCAGTTTATACCTTATAAAATGGGTAGCTATTAAATTCATTCCTTATAATTTAATTTTCATTCATTTAATGTAAGAAAAAACGATTATTGTACAAACAAAATGACTTCAATTTGTACAAAATTTGTATGTAACGTCAGGCGGTTTAATACGTTTCTGATGCAACTCATTGTGACGTAGGCAACACATTTTATACAATATAAAATAATTTTTATCCAATCAAATACAGTGTTACAACCAGAATTAAATTATTTCAATTTAAAATCAGGAATATGGGATAAACTCCTCTATCAAAGTTGCCAAGATATTATTGGTGCAAGAATTCTACAGCTTGTAAAAATTAATTTTAGTTTCGATTTTTTGTTCTATCTAAGCGTTGCAAGTTTTGAGCTTGAGGAGTAAAAAAATTCTTCCTGAACGCTGATATTTTTGAAATATAACCTAGATTTTATAGCAGGAAGTATAAAGCACTTGACAGAATTAAACTGGCTACAGTCAAGTGACATGAGTAAAGAGAAGAGGTCTTGTACTGGGGGACACCAATTATCGTTTCCTACAAATAAGGTAGGTTTATTCCTTACGAATACATATTTCTAATTTTAAAATGACCTTAAATCAGTTTTTTTCAATATATTCTTTCATCATTTGAATGCCATTTCACTATTTTTGTAAACATTTCTTTATAAAGAATTCCTTTCCTTTCCTGTGTACATTAGACTTAATATTTTAAAAAAGAAAAAAAAAACTACAACACAAGTTGAAAAACTTGATATGATATGTACTGGTAAATTGTACATAACTGGGCCTATAGTTAATGATTTTAACTTTTTGATTAATTTTTTGATTTTCACACCCATCTTTTTGACTTCAAAATTAGGACAATTTACTAAGTCAAAGCTCAACATATGAAAAGCTTGGGAAAAGCTGTTTTGACCCATTCTGGTTCAGTTTTTCAACTCCTGTGCTTAAAACTTTTGAAAAACTGAACGATTTATTATTGATCATAGGAAAAAGCCTTATACATCATGATTTTCAGTTTTTAATTTTTTTATCTCCTATCTTATTTGTCAATAAATATTCACAAGGGTTTTTGTATATTCAAGATACAAAACTTCTAATGATGGACCCCTGTTACAGTGCCCAGGACGTATTGCGATGTGCCCTGTGTGAGACCGCTGTGGTACAGATGCACTGTGATACATGTCTTGTCAACCTGTGTACAACGTGTGTAGGAAAACACATGATTTCTGATGAATCCAAGGACCACAAAGTCGTCAAATACCAGGTCAAGAAATCCACCCCCCTCTACCCTGAATGTACAACTCACAGCAAAGAACAATGCACTATGTACTGTAATCAATGTGACATTCCTGTGTGTGACACTTGCATTGCATCTCATCAACATCTTGGTCATAAATTTTTAACAATTTTGCAAATCCAGGATGAAAAGAAGAACAAAATAATTAAAGAACATACTGAATTGAAAGAGACAATTTTTCCCACCTACCAGGACATTGCCTCTGATGTACAAAACAGAATCAGTCAGTTAGAAAAGGAATATGGAGATCTCTCAACAGCCATAACAAAACATGGAGAGGACTGGCACAGAGAAATTGACAAACTTGTCAAGAAACTTAAAGCTGAAGTTGATGAAATGAAAAACACACAGATACAAACTCTACAGAAACATATGGATGAAATAAACAAGACAATGTCTGACATCAAGGAGGAAATTAATGCATTTGAAATTGCTATAAACTTTAATGACTTGTCAAAACTGTTCCGCGTTAAATTCAATGTAGATAGATACAAAAAGCTTCCACAAAAAATTGTGCCATCTGCACCTAAATTCATGCCAGGAAAAAATCAAGAAAAAGAATTTCATGACACGTTTGGAGCTTTAACGCTAAGTTCTCTTACTTCAGATGAACAATCTTACAGTATGAAGTTTTCACCACCAGAACCAGAGATTGTCACCACCGTAGACACTTGGTATGATTACCTTTACAATGTGGCATGTCTGAGTGATGAAGAAATCTGGACAAGTGGAGATGAAAACATCATGAAACTTTTCAGCATCAATCAGGGATCACGACTCAGGTCAATTACAACCAAGTCAGGGTACCCGCCATCTAACATAGCAGTGACAAAAAGTGGAGCTCTAATTTATACTGATCTCAATGTTAGAACTGTGAACATTGTGAAGAAAAAAAAGATAGAGGAGGTGATCAGACTAAGGAACTGGAGACCTAACGGTGTCTGTAGTGCCTCCTCCGGTGACCTCCTAGTTATCATGTACAGTGATGATGTCACACAAACAAAAGTTGTCCGTTACTCTGGCTCCACAAAGAAACAAACCATTCAGTTTGATGATAAAGGTAAACCTCTCTATTCATCTGGTGGTTATTATGACAGATACATCACGGAGAACAGGAACCTTGATATCTGTGTGTCTGACCATAGAGCTAAATCAGTAGTGGTTGTCAATCAGGCCGGGAAACTGAGATTCAGGTACTCTGGACATACTCCTGCTCTAAAGATCAAACCAATCAGTCCACGAGGAATCACCACAGACAGTCAGAGTCACATCCTTACAGCTGATTGTGACAATGACTGTGTCCACGTCATAGACCAGGATGGACAGTTCCTCTGTTACATCGACTGTGGACTGAGGAACCCCTGGGGACTGTGTATAGATACAAATGACAATCTGTTTGTTGCTGAATGGAGAAACAAAAAGGTGAAGAAAATCATATATCTGAAGTGATGTTAGTGTACTGTTTACCATGTTATAATGATGCATTTTAATGATAGCTCATACAAGTCAGTGTATTTACTAAAGATTGGTTTTACATATACAGGTAGTCATATTCCTTTTCTTGTCAAAGATGAATATCAAATGATGAATGTGTCATCATGTGTTTGATATTTATGTAACATATGTTTGATATTTATATAACATATTTTTTCTTCAAAAAACTGTGTCTTAAAGTACTACTTCTCTGATTAGGCATCACTAAACTTTGCCGAAATATAGTTTTAAATAAGTCCAGGAATATTACAGATTTGTGTGTGCTAAATCATTTGAGGTAACTATTCCACAAACCTCTCCTGAAGATTGAAACCACCCCCGAAAAAAGAAATCATAGTTTAAACACTGTTTAATGAACATAATAAAATCATCAACATTTTTTTCTGCTTATATTTGGAATTCATGTAATGATATAGATCCAAGTATCTCTGGATCATTATCTTTTTTTGTTGACACTGACAATCAAGTCATGCTTTTCTGTCCGAAGAAAAATAATTTATAACCAAAGAAAAATAATTATATGCAAGTGTATTCTAAGTTAATTAATTAATTAAGGAGGTATTCTACACCAAAATTTTATTTTTATTTACTTGATCTTAGAAACATCTCTAGACTTTTGAAACTTTGTATATAAATCCGAATCTCTTTGCAAAAATGTTATCATGATTATACTTATCACTCAAAGAGTAAGTTGTTGATTCACTCTGCTTACCTCATATCAACAAACTGTCAATCCTACAACCAGTGTACGGTGTAAGGTTAATGTTTCATTCATCTCCCCTGTATCTGGTTTTAGTTGGATTTTACACTTGTAAAACTCCCCAGTAACAAGTTGATGGTATAACCTGTAACAGATACATGTATGTTAGTTCGCATTTTCACTTACCTCCCCAGTAACAAGTTGTTTGCCATCAGGAGAAAAAGCCAGTGAGGTGATATTCTTTTTTTAAGGTATTCAAGATGTGGGACTGTTTATTACGTCGAGGATTGAATAAAAAAACAACCATGCATCTGAAAAACAAAACACTTTTCAGTAATTATTTATCAAGACATATGACCTACATGGACCTAATGAAGACCCTTGTAGAAGAAGTCCTTCATACTCCAAGGTGGAGCTTCATTGGGGGGGGGGGGGGAGTTGAATTTGTTTTTTCAGATACTTGTATAATAATATGACTACTGTACACTGTAAAATTTTCGCCCCAATTTTATTAGGACACCTAGTAAACTCAGGTGACTTTTTGCTATCCGTATTCGTCCGTCGTCGTATGTCGTCCGTCGTGCGTTTATATTTGAACATTTTCAAGTTCTTCTCTGAAATCACTGAAACAATTTCAACAAATATTGGCATAGAGCATCTATAGGTGAAGTGGAAGAAAAATTATGAATTTCATGGTCCCTGCCCTCGGGGCCTGGGGATGGGGCTAAAACCACTAAAATTATTGCAATGTTTAAAAATCTTCTTCTTTACTCCTGGACACCAAGCAGTCAAACTATTTGCATGATTGTAATCAGCATTGAGTCCTCTACTAAAATTGTGAAATTCATTCACCCAGGGTCAGGGGCTCTAATTCGGCGGGGCTAAATAGATTATATAGTGAAAATACATCATTTCTTCTTTTTTGTTCCTGGGTATCAAATAAAATGACTAAATGCATAGCTAAATTGAAAATGACCGCCTCTTCCAAAATTGTAAATTTCATGGCCCCAGGGTCAGGGGTTCTAGTGCTAGGGCGAGGTTATATAAATTATAAAGTGAAAATGCATACATTTTTTAAAGTTCTTATTTTCTGCTCCTGGGCATTAGATAAACTAACCAAGTGCAAAGCTAAATTGAAAATTACTGCCTCTTCAAAATTGTGAATTCCATGGCCCCAGGGTCAGGGGTTGTATTGCTAGGGTGGGGCTATATTGATTATATAGTGAATATGCTTAACTTCTGTGAAATTCTTCTTCTCTGTTCCTGAGTATAAAATAAACTAACCAAATGCATAGCTAAGTTTAAAATGACTACACTGCCTCTTCCAAAATTATTGTGAATTCCAAGGCCCCCGGGTCAGGGTTTCTAGTGCTAGGGCCAGGCAATATAGATTATATAGTGAAAATGAATTATTTCTTTAAAAACCTTCTTCTCTGCTCCTGAATATGAAATGAACTGACCAAGTATATAGTTTTGTTGAATAAGACTGTGTATTCAAAAATTCAAGGCCCCAGGGATTGGGGTTCTGGTGTTAGGGTGGGACTCCATTGATTATATAGTGAAGATGTAAAATAATCTTTTAAAAAATCTTCTTTTCTGCACCTGGTTATTTAACAAATTGACTGTGTACATAGTTATGAGGAGGAAAGATGCCTTTGAGATTTGTGAATTTCAGGGCCCCTGGGTCAGGGTTTTTTATGTTATGGCGGGACTCTAATATTTTTATTATATAGAGAAAATGCATAAATTCTTTTAAGTCCTTTCCTTTTCTCCTGGGTATTATGCCTATATAATATATATATATATATATATATATATATATATATATATATATATATATATATATATATATATATATATATATATATATATATATATATATATATATATATATATGATTATTAGAAAGCTGCCTCTTCCAAAAATTCTCCCAGGGGGTTGGGGAGGGGGGGTACATAGTTTGAAAATAATTTCATGCTTTGGAAGATGCACTATGGTATATATTAACAAAATTATGAAGTAAAATTTATAAAACTTCCAAAATTTTGAAAGTTGTGCCCCTAAGGTCAATGGTTCCCGTGGGATAGATGCACAACTTATAAAGTGATAATTTTCTCTTTGTTACTCTGATCTACCTCTGGTTATTAAGTAACCATAGTAAGCATGCTAAGTGTATAATTATGACAAGCAATCGTGCCTTTTTCAAAATTCTGAATTTCATGGCCACTGGTTTAAAACACGAATCAAATTCATGCAATTGTTGGAAAGTTGTTACATGATACTCAGGTGACCTATAAGGCCCATGGGCATCTTCTCTTCGCCCTTTTGCCCTTGTCACAATTAAGTTGGCAAATTTAAAACGGGGCGAATTCAAAGAACACTGTATAAATTCTTAAATAGAACTGTTACTGGGCGAATTTAAATCGGGGCTTTGTAAGCAAGTGTAAGAGGGCGAAAATTACACGGGTGAAAAAACTCTGTGCACAGTATTTATAGTACTGATATGTTCTTCAAAAATATTTTGTGTTAACAAGTATTCTCTAAAAAAAAATCTGTTCCCTTATTGGGGCCCCACCTTATCCCCAGTGCCAGTATAAAATAAATTAATCTACTCTGCCTTAGGCATGTTAGGATGCTTATCAGTATGACCAATCAAAGCCCTGCAGTAACTTGAGGAATTCACAAGATTCTATTCTACATTTTTCCATTTTAACATTTATCCTCTTCTGTGTGACTGCAGCCTATGCACAGGGACCATGATTTAATAAATATATTTTTATCTTCACTATGTCAAATAAATTTCAATTTTTCTGGCTTATTGATTCTGGAGGAGGAATCTTTTAATATAATCTTTGTTATTTTTGCCTTTTCTTGATTATAGTCACTAGCTGTCATTCATTTGAAAAAAAAATTGGAATATCCTTCACCCAAGGATAATTGGCTGCAAGTTTGATTAAAATAGGTCCAACGTTCTTGAGAAAAAAAAAGATAATCTGAAAAGTTTATAGACACACTTAGTTTATAACATTATCACAAGTTCTTGTGGACAGGACCCCCCCCCCCCCCCCCATCCCCCCTTTAAATATTCAACCCCAGGGTTTGTTTAACATTCTTTTTTTACATATTATCTTTATTACACTTATTCGTCATAAGTACAATAGAAAAAAATCGTTAAAACCAAAAATAATTGCTCCACAAAAAATACCCCCACTATACATGTCTGCCTAATAAAGAATAGAGAGGCATTTTTGTGGAGCTATTGTTTTGGGGTTTATACATTTTTTTTATATTGTACATATGATGAATAAGTGTAATAAATATAATTTGTGAAAAAATGTCCAACAAACCCTGGGGTTGAATATCAAGGGGGGGGGGGGTCCTATCTATAAGTACCTATGAACTTTATATGCACACTTGCACATTGACAATCTGATTAAAATTAGATCTTTGTCAATGCTTCAAAAGACCACATTGGTCACAATACAAAGACCATCACAATATCAGAGCGTAGCTAAGATCTGGTTTTTATTCAGATATGCATGGTGACAAAAAATAAAAATAAACAAGAGATGTTTGTAAAACACTCAGGCCCCCTTCTCAAAATAATTGTAATTTTTCTAAGTCCAAGGAGCATACTAGTATCTCTGTCCACAATGGTTCGATAAGTAACATTTAAGTGAAAAATGGATGCACAATCCAAGCTGGCATACAACATTGAATAAACTTTGAATCAACGATGTTTTTCTATGTTGATTCAACATTGATTATATGTTAGATTTTGAAAATTTGTATCAACGTTGAAGTCTTAACATTGAATCAACATTGATAATCAACGTTGATTATATGTTGAAAAACAGTTGATTCAACATTTATTCAATTATTTATTTTGGAAAGGGGGTGTCATATAGTAATAATATACTAACTTAAAATTTCAAGTTTTATTGCACGGTTGCTATGAAGCCTCATAATTGTTGAAGGGATAGTGACCCTCTGATAAAACAGATAACTTTCAAAGTACCAAATAGTAATACTACTCTCAGTACTTTTAATCAATTCCTGAGACCTCTGAGTAGTCAATTTGGTGAGTTTGAATTTATGATGGAAATATAGCTTTCTATTTCAAATTTCTTTGTAATTGTTTTATTATATTTAACAATAAAACATTTAAATCCAACTTCAAATGCCTTATAAATTGAATAAGTTGTATCTTTTTAAGTACCATTTTAAAAATGGTTTAATATTTCAAATACTTAATGCAGTATTTTAATTAGAATGACTTTTTTTTCACATGAATAAATATTTAGAAGAAAGATAACTCCTCATCACAGATATATTTTTTCTTACAACCGCATACAACATTGTGATTTTCTGACTTAGGAAACGTCACTCCATGATGTTTTCTAACATGATTTAAATAGGTTTAAGAGTAAGTATTATTTTTCATATGCACCTCATATATTATATTTAATGTTGTAATAAATCGGTACTCTTTCTATTCTCTGTGTTCAATTTCTTCATTTCTTGATCTGCACAAAAAAATAATTTCTGAAAAAAATAAACAGCGCTTTATACATCAAACTATTTTCCATGTGGCTCTAATGTTATCGTTGTTTATGAAAATCAATATTACAAATTTAAAAATTTCTAAGGTGAAAGTTATAGCAGAAGGTCGGGATCCCTTAAATGAAAACATATGGTATATCACTATATATATATATATATATATATATATATATATATATATATATATATATATATATATATATATATATATATATATATATATATATATATATATATATATATATATATATATATATATATATTGTAAACAGTAAGTGTTTTAAATTTCCTATCAATAGTTAATTGTGTTACAATAATTTCAACCAAAATACATTTTATAAATTAGTCATATTACAAAACCTGAGCATTTATAAACGTTTTGTATTTTCACATGTGGTCATGAAATAGTCCAGAACATGAAACCATTCCAAGGTAAGATGCAAATCTTATACGGTAAAACTTTTGATGCACCATGAAGATATGCATTTCGACACATTAATATCTTTTCAATGGTACTAGTACTCTGACATGCCAAAATGTTTTCTTTAAAGAGTATTTTTTTTTTATTAAATCTTGGTGTTGAGTCCTGAGGGTTGTGTTATGCTGTCTTTTTGAATATTTTCCTACTGCGTATCCTCAGCGAAGATCCGACGTTGAATCAATGTTGGCAATTTAACTCAACTTGAATTCAATGTTGAATCAACGTTAAATTTTCAACGTTGAAAAGTCAAC